AAATAAACCTACTATACCTTAGAACCTTAGCCACCGTTACATTTAGCTACCTAACTTCTAGTCCCTCTTATAATCTTACAATAAAACGTAGTATTATTTAGCTTAACTAAACGCGCTTATGCACTAATTACCCTAATTAACTAGAGTTAAGTTAATTTAATCTAATATATTAAGCTACACACGTAATAACCCGTAAAAGAGATTACCACGGTAATAATACTATATATAAAGGCTACGATACCTCGCACACGTAGTTAGCTAGCTTCTATTTTATCTATTAACTATTAAATTAACTTTATTACACCTAATTATAGATACTTACACTTTCCCTTATAAATCCTATAATAAAAGCTTTAATTAAATTATAAAAAACAATTACTATATTTCTTATACTTATTATGCGTATTATTTCATTTTTATACGTATTACGTAGCCTTTTACCTAATATAATTAATAGGCTTATTATACCGTGCGACAGGTTTCGGCTCCGGGGCGGTATAGGTATCAGAGTCGAACACCAGTTAACCCTTAAGCTAATAAGATTCAGCAAGCACACGGCCGGGGTGAGCACCTTGAGCCATTTGCTCGTGTTGAATGCCTCATGCCATGTCAAAACAACAGCGAGCTTTTAAGGCACGGGAAGAATGCAGGTCATCATCCTTACGCTTGCCATTGTGAGAAGAGCTTCACCAGGCTTGATGCTCTCAAGCGCCACATTAACTCCAGAGCAGCTGCGCCTGAAACAAGCAAGTCGAAGACCACGCTAACATGCCCCTTCTGCAGGAAGTATGTTAGTGAGAAGGGTTTCGATAGGCGTGATTATCTGCTCCAGCACCTTCAAGGACGACACCGCTTTAGAGAAAACGGCATCGCTTTTATGAGGGTCCGCGTAGGTGCTCCTACTCCGTTCCACCTCTAAGCAAAGGTACGAATGCTGCAGCTCGTTTAGTTGCCTACGACGGATTAGATCTCTAGTACTAGCTCAAAGCCTCGTTGATCGTATTATTCCGTTGTCAGCTTATCAGGCACCTTATGTTTGTGACGTCACTCTCCCGCAACTTCGAGCACAAGAAATGTTACGTGCCGGCATCCCTCGATGCAGTCTAACGAGATTTACGTAACTATTATTAGGTTTAACTTATAAGAGATTGAATTTATGAGTTATAGACTAAACCTAAAATGTAACTACCAAGTTAAACTGTGTTATAATTCTTGTTGATTTGGACTATCTAGAGAGTGGTCTTGGCCAAGTAATACGTTAGCTCTGTCACGTGCTCCGGTCACTAATCATTCTTGAGGGTGATAGCTTAATACGCCCTTAAGATACCTTGATTATCTGTGCAAGTAGCAAAGGATCAAGTCCGGACCAGCGTCGCCAGATTACACCCTGGAAAAACAAGGTGTAACTGAGTCAAGCGTGCACATGATGGCATCGCGTGGTGATGATGAAAGAACATAGTAGACTCTAGGCAAGAATGTTAACACGTGACTAGGAGATGAAATATGTCCCTGCTTTTACTCACAACTGCCCGAATCTCTCAATGTTATCAATCTTCACACCCTAGCCTCTTTGGCTGCTTGGTCGTGGGAGTAACCTCAAGAGTGAGCTGCTATGTATCTACCCTTTTACACTTTAAGCTATGAAATTTTGACTTGGCAAGTATAAAAGTCCGCCTTTTAGAAATATTTAAGAGTTATTTAAGAACAGATGTAAAATTACTATAAATTTTAGGTGAAACACAAAAAACTAATGTCTAGGGATAGCAGTAAGCACTACCCTACGGATACGTATCCACAGTTATATATAATACCTTCTTCTAGGATTATTAACACGTCTTAATCTAATATACCAAGTAACTCTTACCTACATTTATTATTAAAAACTTGAACCGATTGCTTTACTATCCCCGGCTCTGTTCCACTAACGTGGATCCCTAGACGCGCGCTACTGTCCTTACACTCTTGAGTCTTGGCCACTATATTGAACCTGCTTATTTCCATAGTAATGGTAATCACTCATTACGTTCGCCAAAGTAAGTTGTGTTATCTATTAAAGCGCTAAATTAACATCTTTAATCAGGAATCATAGATCACACATGTGCGATGGATGCTTGATTTGAACAATCGGCGAGTATTCGCCATTTTGACGGGCGTGGAGAAATGACAGGGATTCTATCAATGACATTCATCTGTTTATGTTAGTTAGGAGTGCCTATAATATCAACTTGCATAAATGAATTTACACTCGATTTTCTCGCAATACTCTTTGCTTCTTGCCTCATATTGAGTGTCGCAATCATTATGCATTACCTGAGATGGTGTTTCCCCTCGTTCTAATGTGTTCTACTACGACAAGGGTATTGCATCTGTCTAAGCGAGGTCCATGTCCTTTTCGGTTTCCAATACAGCCGTATTCCCCTTCGAGTTTTCGCGCTCCGGCGTTCGTCAAACCTACCCCGTAGTAAGCGGGATTTTCCAGGTTTTGGCCATCATTCCAAACCACTTCCGAGCCGGCGTACCAGTAATTGTCGGCGGAGCAATGTTAAGAAATGCCATGGATTGCCTCCGGGTAGGACGTGTTGGTGTCGGTGATAATTGCTGGAACCTGTGACGATTCGCAAACCTGGCGTTAATTCACTCACAAGGAGATGTAGAGAATCAACTGGAAAGTGATCATTTCAGATGAATCCGGTAGGAGCCACTGGCAATATCTGGTCACCAGACTGTTTATCATTTTCGAGACTGCATCACACTAGGTGACGTGTCGATAGCGTCTGTTCCCAGTACAGTAGAGTATCTCCATCCTTAATAAGGCAACGCATACCAAAATCAAATGCGTTTACAAAACGGCTGGTATCGACTCCATGTTCACGAGTCCCCCCGTTATTCATTAAGAAAACTAACTGGCTTACCTATCATTATCACGCACATGTTCCGCCAGCGACGCATCAAAAGTTTATTCCAGGCTGTCGTGGCCCGGATAACGCATCAATGAATACGGTGCAGCCATTCTCAGGGAGATATATCACCGAATGAATCTACAAGCCTGCCAGGATATTCTTGCATTCTTCTTCAAGTACACGAAGCAGACAGGCCTGCCTTGGCAACGCATGGATACATGCCCATAGAAGTAGAGCTACAACCAGGACGGGGTACCGATATGATTGGTACCAATGTACTGTTGGCCCTGCACCATTATTCTGATTGCCGGAGCTGTTGTTGATGTGACGACTCCCGCCGCCAGTATTGACATTTTCGGCGCCACTACCATGATGTGCAAATTTAAGGGCTTCTTCAAAACCATCAGGCAAGAAGGCTCCATGTTCGGTACTTCCTCGATGGCCTTGGCCGGCCAACCGTTTGTCTGATCTTGGAGGCGTCGCTTCTGAAACTCCGTTGCCAAGGGTTGCAGATGGTCCAAAATGGCCCTGATTAAACTCTACACGACCGTCTTTCCCAATCCTTGGCGCAGCCTTGCCGTGCCGATCCCACCTCGAGACGTCACGTCCTCTTCTAGCGCAACCAATTTATGAAATGCTGCAGCTCCGCAAGTTAATCCTTGCAATCCTCCAAGGTGGGTGTAAAAGCTGATTGTACTGACTCGTCTATTGTGTTATCGATGTATCTTTCCGCGTCTTCGAGTAGCTTCAAGATACGAGGGAGCTTCGTCGCTAACTTGTTGAAATTTGCCGGGAGACCCGACTCATTCTCGACGGCCTCCCAGACGTGTTTCGTAGCATCGATGATGAGAATTACAGACGAGATTACGCCAAGGACAAGGCCTACTTCTCCGATACCAGACATACTGACTGCAACAGGGTAGCATTGGTGATCGTCCAAGTCTTTTCATTATGAATGATAAGTCCTCTGGTTCCTGCGTCATCTTTTTAAACATTTCTTTTGCTAAAATTGGTGCGGAAAGTACGTCCTCAAAGATTCCATCCAGCGACCCAAGGCCAGTCCTGACGGTTTCGTACATCTCTGTAGTTTAGCATGCGCCGCCGCCGCCTTTCGCAGTTCTGCCTCAGTTGCTGCTGGTCTGGTGACACGTTATTAACAGATTATGGGGAAAACGCAGTATGCCATGTATTTTTTGCCTGCCTGTGTCCAGCTCGCTCGAGAGCTATACAACTCATAAAAACAACATGTACAAGGCCTCAAGCTGGATTATTTCGCAGCAAAACGACTTCGCTTCCGCAAAGCCATTCCGAAGTACCAGAGTACGAATATGCCAATCACGCCTCCACAACTCAGTCCCGCCAACAAACTCACCCCCTTGCCGACGCCCAAGTTGATAAACAGCGGACGCGAAAAATGAATGGCGGCACATCCCAAGGAGCTTCGAACGAAATCATTCGCGGCAAGCAAGCTAGCGCTGTATTGGGGATAACTCAGCATAAGATAGATAAAAACGACCTGAAACTCGATGAATATGCCAATAACGACGATTGTTATGCCAATAGTGGGAACGATCCAGGGGATCTCGGGACTAGAATTGCCCGTCCAGCCAAAGAGAAACAGGCCAACGGGGACGAGGAAACTGGCGGGCAGCCCGGGAACCAGACGACGCTCAGGCTCGCCGAGTCCCTGCGTCCGAATACTGGGCTCGAAGACTTTCCGGAGATAGACCGTATAGACAATTATTGCTATAGTAACGCCGACGGTAATAGACAGGAATACAAGACCAATCTGGCCGGCGTTCATGCCGTAGCCGTCGGTGGGAGAAGCCCGGCCAGGAAGGCCCGCGGCGTACACAAAGGGGAAGACTTCGAAAAAGGAGTAAAAGATGCCGTACATGAGGCCAATGTAGAGGCTGGTAAAGAGGACGGATGGATCGAGGAGGTTGATTTGCAGAGGCCGCCAGAGACTCTGGACGACGATTTGACCGACCTTGATGTTTGTCTGTTCGATTTCAGACTGCGAGCGGAGCACCTCCTTTCCCGTAAGTCGGCGAAGACGTCTGGCACGCCGCAGGAGAATCGTCGGGGTCGATGTTTCAGGCATGAAGAAGAACATGAAGACAAAGACGGGTCCAGCGAGCCAGACAATCTCCCACAATGACCAGTGCCAGTTTGTGGCCGGCACCGAGAAGCCGGAAATCAGGGGTCCCAACGCCGGGCCTGCCGTCGCAAATGCGGCCCACCCGGTAAGTGCGTACGGCAACTGGATGAGGTTGAATATGTCGCCGAGGGTTGCGCCGCCCGTGGCCAAGCAAGGAGATCCAAAGAATCCTTGCAGGAAACGCAGGACGATCAGCCAGGGGAAGTGGTTGACGACGGCAACGCCAATTGAAAGGGCAATGAAGATGAGAAAGGTGACCATGTAAGGTGGGTTGCGGCCAATGACTGGAATTTCAGACAACGGGGAGAAGACCAGAGCACCGGCTCCGTAGCCAAGGACGTAAAGGGACAGCCCCATGGACGCGACTTCGGGGGAGACGTTGAACTGGACTTCGATGTATGGCTGAGAGGGTGTAATGATTGCGGATCCAATGTAAACGGCGAGTGTGTACACGTAGATCTGGAGGACAACTAGAGTTTTGCGTCCCGTCGACCAGTTTTGCGGATTCTCCTGATCACTGGTGCTGTACCAGTCGACCAGAATAATGCCGTCCTTGGTCTTGGGTTGGATGATGGCGTGCGTCTCCCTCGTCGTCTCTTGGTGTATCGCATCGGAGTAGGCCTGTTCCAATGAAGCTCTTGTTTCAACATGTGACATCTGAGGTCGAGACATGATTTTGGAAATGGCGTCGCGCTCCATGCCGTCGTCATCCGACGAGCCCAGCTCTTCAGTAGAAGGCGTGCCCGATCTGTGAATTGCTTCGCCCGCAGCATTTTCCACGGGCTCGTCGCCTGCTGGTTCCGCTTGGTGCTGGACGACGGCTGTTGCTGTGGATGACGAAGTCATGGGTGGGTTGTATGACGACGGGCACTGAAAGTCTGCCTGCTCCTCGGGATATCTGAGGACGGTTCTTTTCGACGCCCATCGTATCAGCATACCAATGGTCGTGTCCCGGAATATGTAAGCCATGGCCGAGTTGGGGTTTCTCCAACGAGTTCACTCGGGGACAAATTCTCGTTCAACCTGGAAGTGAATTGTAAAATATAAATGTCAACGTGTGCTGGTTATGAGCTGTCCAATTGCTCAAGTGGCAATACCAAGGGCAGGACCAGCCAAATCTTGCGTGCCATGAAGACGCAGCCACGACTGTACGTGGCGTGTAAGATTCCGGAGCTTCCGATAGTTACCACGGCTATAGGTACTTTACTGCATCCAGGTAACCAAGTAATCTCTGCCGCGCTGGGTAGTTTTGCTAGTTGTGGTGCATTGGTGCCAGTCGATAATCTGAATACGCTTGCTTTAGTGTCTTTAAAGTGTCTTTTCATTTAATTAAACGATTTTTGATACGTTTTACAGTGGTAGCATATATTTCAAGGCGAATAAAAGAGGACTGAAAATTATAAGCTTTGGGTTGCAGGGTAGTACCGTGGTTTGTCGCAGGCGTGCATAAAATACTAGACTGGTAAACTAGCGACTACTTTATTATTCCTAGTGCGTAATGTTCGACCTGATCAAGTCAAGTCAAGTGCTACCAGACTGCAGGTACTTGACCGGCAACAAGGCGCCCAGAGCTACCACCAACCGCTAATCGGGCACCAGCACCCACAACTTCCCCCGCAATAAGTCTGGTGCTAGTTGCCAACCAGCTTCAATTATTGGCATTCTAGTGAGCCACTAACGTGCCACTGCTAGTAGTCGAGAGGGAATCGGACGGGTTTGGTCAATCTCTAACAGGTATACAGGCTGGGGCGATAATCATACCTTGGATGCTATACGGGTGGCACGCAGCGCGAGGTGGAAGTGGGCGCCTTGCCCATGCGGGTAAGCGGTCGAGAACGACTGCGAATTTGTAGCGACCGATTTCACTTGAGGTGTAAAAACAAGTTAATACCTTTGAGCACTCGTAAATATTTATATTTTTCTAATATTACTTATACGTAACTAATTTTCCCATATAAGTAAGTGAAATATATCATAAGCAATTTAATATGAAAATAAGTATTTTATAAATACTTATAATCGTGGTTAGTTACGGTTCCCTAGCTTAGGTACGGCTAAGATATAGCGTTACTAGATTAGTCTAGATGCCCTCTATCTAGCCAGTTCTTTTAATTCTTTTAAATAAATTAATAATTAATAAGTTAATAAAATATTCAAGTTTAAAATATTATTTTTAAATATTTAATATAACTTTTATTAATAAGATTAATTAAAATATTCTTGAAAATTTGATGAAAAAAGCTTTTTAAAAGTGAATTAAAAAACTCTTAAAAAGCCAATTGAAAAAGCTTAAAAAGTTAATGAAAAATACTATTATAATAATATAAAAATTATTCTATAGGAACCCGGTTGTCTAGAGCTCATTCCCACGTCTTCCCTCTATGCCTCCAATGCTGGCAGGCGCCTCAAATGGACTCTTCCGGACAATTGACTTGGGCAATTTCCGTTTTGGGGAATGCTGGGGCTCTAATGGGCCGAGCGAGCCCTACTTTCGGCAACAGGCATCTGAGAGTGCATGGCACCGCGTCTCTGAGGGGCCCATTTCTGACCCTCCCGGCCGAGCATCACCGTCAAGATCCCCGGTATGAACAACTGGGGCAGCCTGTGGGAGGGACAGCACGAGCAGGCTGAACCTTGCGATGAAGGCTGCATTTTTGGCTCCTCAGACGACGAAGAACCTGGCGAGCTGCTCGAGTGTTGCGATGAGCAGCGGCCGCAAGCACTGCAGTCTCTGGTGGTCAATGCCTCTGTCAAGGAGGGCGTCACTGTCCGCGACTACGTGCCTGCCGTCCACCTGTGGTTAATGGAGCACTTTGACGCCATCTCCTCCGCTGCTAATGTGTGGGACAAGGCACCAGCAGACCAGAAGCTGGTGGTGAACTGCGTTTAGCTCCAAATTTGAGCATCTTGGATAAAAAATTGCTGCAACAAATAGGCCTGGGCTAACCGGCACCATCTCTAGGGCCATTGCCTTCCCTTTGGCCACGTCCGCTGTCTCAAGATGAGACCCGACGAAGTTGGGAGACTCAATGAGCAATTGAGGCGTGAAGGATCGGACTTGCAACACCCCGAGAATTAGTAGCTACTGGCGGTACGAGCTAGGTATTTTTGATGGTTGGTCAAGTCAGATGGGTGCAAATCATGCCGCCAAGACAACGATATGAGGGTTGATTATGGAGGAATCTCTAAAAGTTCGGCGTGACACATTTCGTCACAGAGATGGAAGCACAATAGAAGAGGCTACAAGAAGGAAATGCATTTCTAGATTCAAGAAGAACTTATAGTCGCTTCCATTAATTTCTGCAGGCCTGGAGCGTCAGGATACATTTACAAAGAGATCTCATTATCCGTAACTTATCATGAGCTAAAAGGCGATTGCCAAGGCGGCTTTTTATATCCCTAAAGTGGATCGGGCCATTCCAAGACGGCACAACTACTTACAAGGGTCTTTCAACGACCAGGGGTTTCACACAGTAAATAAGGTTTAATCTGGCCTCATGGACTAGAGAAGGTAGGGAAACTTGGCCTCTAGAAAAGGTTACGTACCGGCGACCCAAGAAACCGACAAGAAGAAAGTGGCAAAGTAGGAATTTTCCAGCGCAGCAGCTCCTCTGTCACTGGACATTCTTTTATTTATAAATGCCGTGACGAGACCGTTACAGTTTTGGCTGGAATACAACTGCACATTCCGCTCCGCTCTTTGTCCGCCTCTTTTGTACAGTCGGGGCCGTAGTGCTCGGGGCCATGCGTCGTCTCCTGCTGTCGTAGCAGCTGCTCGCGTTCGCTCTAGTGCAGGGATTTAGCCAGGCCGGAGCACAGCTAGAAGTCGTTTTCCCTTCTTTTCAACCCGTCAGCGCCATCACGTCCACGTTGCTGCCAATCCCAGCGCATACCGCCGAGATGATCCGGACTCGGCGCTAATTCTTGTGATTGGTGTTGCGGAGATTGAAGTGGAGAATTATGCCCCTCTCCGCCGCGCGGTAGCCGGTGGCCCCGGACCGTATTTCCCGATTGGGTTACCAAGATCGTATTATTGGTTGTCGGATCTAAGGGTCCCGCGCGGGAAGTGGAATCAAGAAACTGGGTGTGGAATCTCCGATCAAGAAATTAATAATTGCTACAAGATACCGGGTTGGTTTCCGACATGCGCAGGCGTAAAGATACACGCACACGCACACATGTATATATATACATATTGATGGCTGTCGTTTCCTATAGTTCGGTTCTTGTTAAACAGCATCTACGCAGGCCATCTCGCAGCGTCGCATCACCATAAACACTAGCACTACACCAACTTGAACAAGACGGAATCAATGAAGACAATTGTCGTCCTAGGCGTTGGCCTTGCCGGGGCACCACTCGTCCGCCAGATCATGCGCACCACGGTCCTCAAAAGCAAAGACTACAGAATGGTCGTGGTCGCTCCAACCACACACTTCCACTGGCCGATTGCCATGCCGCGAGTCGTTGTTCCCGGTCAAATGCCCGTCGAGAAGATCATGTACCCCCTGGAACCGACATTCAGAGAATACCCCGAGGAGAAGTTTGAGTTTGTGCTAGGCAGCGCCAGCGATCTGGATCCAGAGGGAAGCGTCGTCATAGTTGCGCTGAATGACGGGACAAGCAGGGCCGTCCCGTACGACACGCTCTTCATTGCCACCGGGTCGTCGGCAAAGGACGACATGCCCTGGAAGCTGGTCGGTACAGCCGACAACACCTTTGACCGCATCCACGCGCTGCAAAAGCAGGTCCAAGGTGCCGAGACGATTGTCGTTGCGGGAGGCGGCTTGACTGGAGCCGAGACAGCAGGCGAGATTGGCTATCAGTATGGCAGAAAGGGCAACAAGGAGGTTTACTTTATTTACAACGACGATCTGCCGCTCTCGCCGGGCGTCATGGCGAGTGTGAGGAAGCAGACCAAGGTTGAGCTGGAGAGGATGAAGGTCAAGCTCGTGCCCAAGACGACCGTGACAAAGGCGACAACCAGGGGCAGGGACACCATTCTTGAAATGCGACACGCCGACGGCACCACCAGGACTCTCACCGCGCAGGCTTACCTGCCGACTACTGGCGTGACGCCCAATACTTCGTTTGTGCCGAAGAGCATGCTCGATGAGAATGGATATGTCAGGCAGACGTCCTTCCTTCGGGCGGACGGCTACAAGAACATTTTTGTCGTTGGCGATGCGGGAAGTCTCGAGGACAATAGATCTCTGGCGGCTGATTCCCAGGCGGGGCATCTCATCAAGTTCCTTCCGGCATACTTTGAGGGTGGGAGTTTGCCCGAGTACAAGGTCAACAGCAAGACCATGTATGGCATTACGCTCGGCCAGAGCAAGGCAACCGGCCAGATGGGCAACATGAAGGTTTTCAGCTGGATCGTCTGGTTGTTGAAGGGCCGATTTCTGGGCACGGACAAGGTTCCTGGTATTGCAGCCGGAAAGATGACCATGTCGGCAACGTTTGAGAAGTAGCATTTGTCATGGTGGTGGTGGGTTGGTTCAGGACAAGCTGGTGTGAAGATATCATTTGCTTTTTATGTTGGGTGTTTGATTTCATTTATAAAGTCCATCTTGAATTATTAGCAAGAGCATTTACGCATTAGTAATGGTATTCCTACTCAAGTTTATTATTCCCCGAGTTGTGAAATATCAAATAAAATACAAATGAAAATTTGGCTGCACCTTACATTGATAGATTACGCCTCTGCCCGCCTCGGCACACGCAGCGCCTTACATAGATACGACATCTCATAACGCCAGTAGCAGGCACAATCCCCTCTGTTTCTGCGTAGAGAGGAGCCTGCTTGGCCCGCGGAGTGGCTACGAGTACAATCAGTATCTGCAGCTGCAAGACAATGAATAGCCTTCCCTTGTCCGGGGCGAAAGGAATCATGTCAAGAAAGAGAGCGCGTAGAATGAGTCTTCATTTCAAACCATTCAACGCATACGGTAGCGACTCGCTTGCGCTCGATCCCTTTGTCAACCAAGTACCTAGTGAATAATGACGAGTCAAATTTGAGCTCTAGTGAGGGGTCAAATGACCGATTCTACGACTGCACTGTTTTATTCAGTTGAAAGAGCTCACATATGACGTAGAATATTCCCCCTCTAACAATGAAAATATTTCATAAAACAAAAGGGCAGCGCAAAGTACATATCACCATACGAAACAAGGTAGGTAAGAAGCTAAAACGCAAGATGTAAGCTCTTCAGGGCGGAAGGAGAACAAAGAGAAGATAGATCTACATGGTCAAAGCGCTTTTACGGAATAAACAGCATACTGAAAGACGCAGTCATATCCGGCCCCTAGACAAGATGAAGTGGGCGGTAAGCGAAAAGAAAATTATAAATTCACTGCTGCTCTGTCCTCCAGGGACAACTCCACTACCCAAGCTTTGCGACAAGACACCATCCTTCTTCCTCTACATACCTTATGACCTCAGCTAGTCACTATGCGCTCTATCCTTGTCGTATTGGTTTGTGCCCTGGCTGCATCCGCCGCAACACTCCCTGAAGGTCGGATCATGGAGAGAAATGAGCGTGACTCCGACTTCTGCAAGGTAAACTCCCTTTTCGGACTTTTTTCTTATTCTATCGACCACTATGCGGCGACGAAAAGATGTGAACAGGGGCTGATGAGAGTCAATGCGTAGGACAAGGCCCATGATGGCAACGTCTGCTACTGGAAACACACATTTTCAAGAAAGGAAGAGATGGGTGGTAAGTATTATGTATCCGATAGTTTTGCAACATGGCTCATTGCTAATAATCGAAAAAGAATGTAGACGTGGAAAATGCCGTCGGATTAAAAACCAAGCCTACTAAATTGCTGGTTTACAAGACACTAGAAACGAGTTGCTCTTGTTCTACACGGGTCAGGGTTCAGTTGGTTGCTGCACATGCTGGTTGTTGCGCCCCTTGTATCGAAGGCAGGCATTGCCTCCTGCAATTCTGTAGCTATTCGACCACATAGGACCTCGCTGGGCAGCCCGTCACAGTTGGTTGTTGATTCAAATGTGGCTCTTGCGTGACTGTCGAATCATCTCTCTTTGCTCTGCCGCCATCTAGTATATCCTCGCTCCCGGTCCGCTACGGTCCCCGCCGCCTCTGTATGAAAGGTGCACACTAGTTTATAGAAGCATAGCACAACGGGAAGAGCAACAGCTAGGGACAAATATACTGCCACTCGATGTCACTGGCTGCAGACCAGTTGTTGTGCAACAATGAGACTTGTCCGAGGCCATGATGGAGCAAAGGGGAGACAAGGTCTGCGACTACATGACACGAGGCTTTAATGGAATGAGTCTAGACAGAAAGTCTCCACGCGCTCAAGCTACTCCCAGCAAGCCTGTGGGCTCTTGGCCGCAATGTGATTTAAGATGGCGGCATAGACATTCTTGCGTGGTAGGAGCTGAACATGTACCATTTACTTTGAACAAGGCTTTGCGCCATAGACATAGTTGGAAGAAGGAAAGCAAGTCAACATCCATCTCCTGGAGGGACTGCGTTCCACTCTCATGAACGGATGTCTGGCCACACGCCACTTTTCACCGACTTCGAGTGATGCTGGTAGAACTGGGCCAAAGCCTACTATTTTGCTGTCACCTCGCCTTTATTTTATACCATCTACTCTGTCCCCTATTTCTAGGAATTAGGTGTATAGCGAGCGATGCGCTTCTTTATGCACTTAATCGGTATAGTGCAAAGTGATGCAAGTCTTGTTGTACAACAACTTCGGTGAGCCTCGATTGACCCGGGAAGCACACACGACCAATGCACTCACTCTTCCGCAAAGCCACTGAGCCATCTGACACATTCATTGCATGCTCGGTGTAAGCCCTCTGCAGTAGCCATGCAAAGAGCCCGCTCTGCTATGTAACCACAGAGGTGGTAACAATGGTGCCTAATGTGATGTGCCGGAAGTTCTGAATCCATGGTACGGAGAAATGGTCGACAGAGATGGCGACACACCTTGTGAGCACATTCTGAGAAACATGCCCATTGGCGTTCATTTCCCGCGGGACGCGGATACAACTGGCGTTGTTGTTGGAAGAAATATGTAATATTTTGACAGCTACGGTAATAATCACGTAGGCGTCTACAATTTTTGCCCTCTGGCTTAACTGGAATATTTCCGACGGTTGTCAAATGACGTATGATTCGGTGAGGGACTGATTGCTTTGAGCGGCTGGGGAACTTTTCAAAGTTGTGCAACGTTTTGCGTGGCAGTACAGACCTACATATATTGATTCACCGCAGGCCCTTCGGCGCGACCTGAGTGACCTATAATTATGTAAATGGTGACTTGGCAGCACCGCCATCAGAACCAAGGAGTGTGGGAGTCCATCGGACTCGACCCCAAGGTCAGCAGATCAGCGTAATGTTCAAGTCGGGCTTGAATTCGGAGAACATAGATATTGCATATACTATAGATAGTGCTCGTTTTCTCCCCTTCTCCACGTAAATCTTCCGGGATCCTGCAGAGCGTGCAGAACTCTAAAATCATTGACTTGAGCTACTACTTGATACCAAGACCGTAATGTCAGCTCCAACAACCCATCACCAAAAGATCAAGCCAGGGGATGTCACAGTCGCAATCTTCGTTGCTCTCGTCCTTGAATCTGTTGCAGTTGTGCTCAGCTTTGACGAAGAGTTTCATTGTCATACGAAAGGTGCCAAGTATGTCTACAGGTTCGGGCGCATCGGACAACACTGTGTTGTGGTAGCTCAGCCAAACGACATGGGAAAAGTCAACGCCTCCAATATCTCGGCCCATGTCACCAACGTGTTCCCTAATGTCCGTCTTGCCCTAATGGTCGGCATTGGGGGCGGGATCCCCGGCGGTGAGAAAGACATTCGCCTTGGCGATGTTGTAGTCAGCAAGCCTGAAGATGGTCTCCCTGGTGTTTTGGAGTATGATTTCGTCAGGGTCGAAGGAGATGGCAGGTTGGTTCGGAAAGGGACTCTTGACAAGCCCCATCCAACGCTCCTGAGCGCCGTCAACTACATCGAAGGAGAAGAAATCATGGATCGGAGCTCGCTTCCCGAGAACCTGGATTATATCATCAGAAAAAGCGCCAAGTTCCAGCACCCTGGAAAAGCTGATGTTCTCTATGATATAACATTTCGTCATGTTGGAGGCAAGGATTGCACAGCATGCGAGGATTGCCCCAACAAACGGATTGTACAACGGCCCCTCCGACAACAGAGGGGGCCGAAAGTCTTTCATGGATTAATAATGTCCGGCGACAGTGTCGTCAAAGACCCGTATGAACGACTAAGATTGTGCGACGGCTATGACAAGGCGCTATGCTTCGAAATGGAAGCAGCGGGAATCATGGATGAGAGCCCGTGTCTGGTGGTTCGCGGTATCTGTGACTATTGTGACACTCATAAGCAAGGCGACTGGCAGTATTATGCCGCCGCCGTTGCGGCAGCATATGCGAGGACAATTCTACTTTCAATACAAGGTCAGCAGGTGGAGCATTTGGAGCAGATGAGGGTGATGTTGCATCACCGTAAGTCCTCATTCCAGATCCAAGCATGGTACACAACTTGACTTGTCAGTTTTTATAAGTTCCCGAAGAGCTGCAGAGCATCAAGAAAGTACATAAAAGACTTTCGCAAGAATTCGTCCCGTGGCAACCGCTTAGCGACCTTCTTCCTGTAAACTTCGACGCCCTTCACGATAGTAATGCGGTGAGCCAGCATGCGCCACTATGCCACGACGGTACCAGGAAGAGCATACTGAACAAGATTGCTAGATGGACAAACGATATCGACGGTGAGACTTTCTTTCTTCTCCATGGGCCTGCCGGTACTGGAAAATCGACAATTGCTCGATCCATCGCAAATCAGCTTGCAACGGACCCCACGATGACAACAAAGTTGGGGGCCAGCTATTTCTTCAATACGTCCAGCTCCAAGCTCTTTTTCCCAACAATTGCCGCTCGATTGATGCACTCAATCCCAGAGCTCAAACAACATCTGTGGAACTCTCTGGAATACTGCGGTTGGTTTAGCAAGGCTGAAATAGAAGGAAAGGATCGTGAGAAGCAGCTGCAGACACTCATTCTAAACCCTATAAGATATCTGTCCGAGCAAAGCTCAGAAAAGTGGTCGAGAGTCATTGTGGTTGATGCTCTGGATAAGTGTGAAAAGGAGCACATCCTCACAATTTGCACTCTATTATCACGGCTCCATGGACTCGATGCCGTCCGCTTCCGCATATTTCTGACAAGCCGGTCCCAAGGCACTATTATGGAGAGATTCCACAAGCTAGAAAAGGAGCACATGGCCCGCAGCTTGTCGATACTCAAATACCCGAGCGAAACAAAGGCCGACATAGCCAAAGTCCTGGAGGCCGATTTTGCGGACGTTAAGAAGAGGAAAAATATCAGGGAAGATTGGCCAGAACCCGAGGACCTAAATCATCTCGTCGAACTAGCCACAACACCCTCACCGCTATTCATTTACGCGGCAACGGTCTGTCGGTATGTCGACAATGCGATGATATCAACAAACCCGGTCTGGCGGTTAAGGCACTGGTTGGACAAGTTCAAAAATGCATCCAGGTTCGACGAGAGGTTTGATAAAAAGTTCGACCGGGGGCTCGACCAACAATTCAACGACATGTACAAGGAAGTCCTCAAAGAGGCCACGGGTCGCCTTCAAGTGCATGAGAGGGAGATCCTTGAGGACGTACTTTGCTCCATTCTTGTCCTCTTTACCCCGCTTCCTTCCAAGTGTCTAGCAGCACTTCTTGGCAAGAACGACCGCGACGTTGATTGTTTGCTGCCGAATCTCTATGCGGTACTCGACATTCAACCTGAAGGTCCCGTCAAAATACTACACGAGTCATTTAGAGACTGCCTTCTAGACCCAAAGGGCATATTTCAAGTGGATGCCTTAGAAAGACATCTACTACTAAGGTGTAAAAGGTCCACGGGTACCCGTGTGGGTTGCTTACCCGTGGGCTTTAGGTAGGTATAGGTAGGAAAAAAAGACTTAAATGGATTTATAAGGGAAAATAAGATACTTATAATTATTTATTAAGAATATTAAGTGTTTTTAAGTACTTAAATAAAACTTATATAACTTACTTTCTTTATATTAAATTATAATAATTATTATTATTAATTAAGTGTTAAAGTATTATACTTTACTTTATATAATACTTATATAAGTGTAACTTAAAATCTTTATTATTATTAGGCAGGT